GTTGGGTTTTTTTGTTTTTAATTCCAGGCAGATGGTATAGTGTTATGGACGGGGCATAGGCTTTTGAGTCACATGGACCTATATTTTAAATCATAGCTCAGCTGTCTGACCTTGAGCAAATCATATAGTCTCTCTGAGCTTTATTCTCCTCCTCAGTCAGGTGAGGACAGTAATAGTAATCTTTATCTGACATGATTAGCATGTATGATTTAAGCATACATACATCAGTATTACTAGCATCAGAGAATTAGTTTTCCCCTCTGGGAAGAAACTGTTGTCTCTTGGCATCAGAGATCTACCATGGGTTTGGTGATTTGCTAGGAGGGCTCACAGCTAAGATTTATTACAGTGAAAGGATAGGAAACAGTCAGTAAAGGGAAAATGCCCTGGGGACAAAGTCCAGAAGAAACCAGGCACAAGCTTCCAAGGGTCATCACCCAGAGAAGTCACACAGAATGTGCATAATTCCACTGTCATCAAATTGTGACAACACTTTTAAAGTCCTCTTTGCAGGGAAGTGCATTACAGACTCAGAACCCGAGAGTAGTTTTATAGGCTTTGGGCAACTAAGCAATCTAGCAGCACATACTCAACTTCCAGAATCCAAGAAGGAAAGCAGATGTTCCACATCAGCCAAATTGTTTGTACAGACATGCACAGTAAGCCACTCTTACTAGTTAGGAAATGGTAGAAATACTCCCGAAATCCAAGTTGCCAGATTACAACCAAGGACCAACCTTGCAAACAAGCCTTTCTAGGAATAGTAGTCTTAGCCCGTAATGTTAATTCTTTTCTGTACAGCCCTGTTCTCTGCTGTTTGAATTATATATTATATTGTAGGTGTTAATGATGTGTAATAAGTGTCCATAATATGTCATGTATGTGTTTTATGTGTTACTGAAAAACATCAAGGAGGTAACATAGTTGGTATGTTAGAGAGAACTCTATATTTGAAATAAGACCTGATTTTGGATATTATTTACCATTTTTTAGCTATATATACAGGTTAGTTGGCCTCTTTTGAGCCCTATCAGTTAGTAATATTTGTCCTGATTATCCTGTAGCATTGTTTTTAGGATCAGATAAAATAAGACAGGAAAATAAATGTAAAGAGAAAAACATGCATTCATATTACTGCAACTGTTTAGTAATAACAGTAGGAATAACTTCACCGATTTGCAAATAACTTGGTATTTTGTTGATAATTATGGATTTTGTTTGAAACAAATTGTTGTGGGTTAACTCAGTATTTGAATGGGCAGGGCCATATATATAACTTGCTTGCCTGAGTTTTTAACTAACTATCCCCTCTCCTTCTGATTTAATTTTACAGGCAACAGATATTAAGGAGGCATCTCAAAAATGCAAACAGAAGCAAGATGTTATAGAAAGGAAAGATAAACATGTAAGATTTCATACTAAAATTTTTATTGCATCAAAATTTGCTCTAATTTTTGTTTTTAAATCTGTATTATAGGACAGATTCTTGTTGGAGAATGGCCAAGATCTCTGCATTCTCTATTTCTTAATTTGAGGGAGAGTAAGACTTGGAAGTATAGTAGTTGGTCAGAGGACAATTGGGAAAAAACTGCTAGTAGACTAATCGCTATGCCTTAACTTCGTAGCTGAGTGACTATAGTTTTTTAATAGGATAATGATGGATTTAGTTACCTTATTAGTAAAAATTAAACTCTAAGGGATATGTTCTTATTTTTTTTAAACACAGAAATAAATCTTTTATTTTGAAAAATGGGGGATGACATTTATATAGAATGTATATACCTTTATGCATGATCGAAATTAATGAGACAAAGTATACTTTAACTGTGGAGCTTTTCTTTTTTTTTCTTTTTTTTTTTCTGACACAGGGTCTTACTCTGTTAACCCAGGTTGGAGTACAGTGGCGTAATCTTGGCTCACTGCAGCCTCCACCTTGCAGGCTCCTCCTATCTCAGCCTTCTGAGTAGCTGGGACCACAGTGCATGCCACCACACCCAGCTTTTTTGAATTTTTGTAGAGATGGGTTTTTGCTGTGTTGCCCGGCCTTGCCTTGAACTCCTGAGCTCAAGCTATCCACCTGCCTGGGCTTCCCAAAGTGCTGGAATTACAGGCATGAGCCACTGCCCCTGACTGGAACATTTCATCTTTATTGTATTTTTATTGTTGAGTTTTAATCTGTTTTGATGTAATCTTGATTTATAGCTCCAATTTCTAGAAATGAAAATAGTTAACGTTGTGAAACTTAGCTTACTGCAGGTAATTTATCGCTAAGGAAAAATCTTTTAATTTGTAATATCCTGTTTTTGATGTATGCAGCTTCTTAATCTGAGAATGTAAACTAAAAGTTTTTGAAGTTTTTTTTTTCCTTTGTAATATCTTTTTTTTCTTAGTAGATTTTTTTCTTTTCTCATTTTCGTTTCTTGCTTTCTTCCTGGAGTTTTTGCTTGTTTATCTGGGCATCTTTGGTTGTTTCTTTATGGTTAAGAGTAAGGCGTTAAAAGGCTGATTACAGATTTTTTGTGCATAAGTGGGGTCTAATGGCAAAATTACGTTAGGATGATTAGGTAAGAAAGTGGGCTTTTTTTGCTGTGCCCAAATATATGTGTGTTTCTATTCTCCAGGACCCTTCTGAGACTAAATTTTGAAATTACCTGCCTTGGAGGTAGACATGTAACTTCACCCATTTCTTGTGGTTGAAGCATTATGTTAATCTCCTAGTTTTTAGCCTCTCCCCTTTTTCTATCCCTTTATTTTAAGTCCCGGGCATCTCATTTAATTTCTCCAAAGAACCACAAATGTTCACAGAAGATTGATTGTCAGTGTTATGTGCTTAGGGTTGTGTATGTTGGGGTAAGAGGGGATTGGGATAAGAAGGAAGGTAGGAATAATTGCATTCTATGTGATGTCATTTGTACTTGGCATTTCCTAGTCCTAAGAATCTGTGTTTTTTATTTGTTTTTATGTTTTAGAGGGAATAATCAGTTTTTCACATCCCTTTCTTTTTCATTCATTCCTTACACTATGGTTCCTATAATAAACTGCTAAACTAGTTATTTGTTTTCTCATCTTCAAAGTATTTATTAAACTTTCCATTTACTGATCTCTTTTCTCTGTCTTTTGTCATCATGGGATGGGACCCTTTTTACTCCATTTCTATTATTTTATTAAGGTTAGGCAGAAAAAGACATAAAGACTCATCCTATATCCCCAGACACGAATACAGGGTTGGTAGATTGCCTCATGTTGAACTTCCCTTGCATTCTTATCATATATTTTATTTACTTAATGTTTTAATATATTGCTGTATTCAACTAGAAAATTTTGTATTTAGGATTTTTGAACTGTGTGAGATTGACCTGTAATTTAATTTTTTATTCTATTCTTAACTGGCTTTGTTTTCAGGCTTATGCAGGCCTGGTAAGTAATTTAATACTTGTTGGATCAGTTTCCGTCATTTATATTTCTTCCTATCACTGATATTTGTGTATCCATTTTTTCCCGTTACCATATTTGCCAGGGCTTGTCACTTTTGTAAGTCTTTTCAACCAATCTTTTTTAAATCAACTTTATTTTTTGTTGGCTATTTAATTTCTTCTTTAACTTTCTTAATTCATTTTTTTCTGCTTTGAGGATTTTTTTTAACATTCTTGAATTGTAAAAAGCGTGTTTCTTTTGTTTTTAACCTTTTCTAATTTTTAATAAATGCATCAAAAGATATACATTTTTTTCTGGGTATCTTTTGGCTATATCTCATGTGTTGATAAGTAGGCTCTTTTTTTCAGTTGAAGATATAATTCTCATTTAAATGTTTTCATTCATTTGAGGTTACCTAGCAGTTCTTATTGTTTTTATTTCTGTGGATATGGAATTTTTTAGGCTTTTGAAAAAATGTCAGATTCTACTTACACTGCTTTATGATCAATAAATGTGGCCTTATGACTTTTATAAAGAATTTTTTGAGCCTTTTTTTTTGTTTTTATTGTGTATTTGATTTTTATACCTATTCTTTATGTATTTGAAAAGAACATACTTTCTGTCTTCAGGTATGGAAATATATATACACATACATACGTACGTACGTTAGCACATGCTTCCTATAATTATACATAATTATATTACTAAAATGTTTTACTTTTTTGTTAACCTACTTGATTTAGTTTTTGTTGTTGTTATTGTTTTAAGATGGAGTCTTACTCTGTCTCCCAGGCTGGAGTGCAGTGGCGCAGTCTCAGCTCACTGCCACTTCTGCCTCCCGGGTTGAAGCAATTCCCCTGCCTCAGCCTCCCAAGTAGCTGGGACCACAGGTGTGCATCACCACGTCTGGCTAATTTTTGTATTTTTAGTAGAGACTGGGTTACCATGTTGGCCAGGCTGGTCTCTTACACCTGACCTCAAGTAATTGACCTGCCTTGGCCTCCCAAAGTGCTAGAATTAGAAGTGTGAGCCACAGCACCACGCCTGATTTAGTTATTTTTAAGATGTCAATATGTCCTTTTATGAGTATAGATTTGTCTATTTTTCCTTGTAATTATATCAGTTTTTTCTTCCTAGATTTTAAAGCTTTCTTATTTTGTTTTTATTTCTGTACCATGTTTCTGTTTAAAATTTTTTTCAATTCAATGTGAAATAAAGGAATTTAAATAGATGAAGTTTAAGCAGTTCACATTTACTGTTATGTTTTCTACTATTATACTTTTTACTTGATTCCTCCTCTTCTTTCTATTTTCTGTTGCTGTTAACCAAGGTTTTCTCATTCCGTTTTTTATTCTATAGGTTGAAAGTTATATTTAGTCCTATTCTAGTGATTATCTTAAAATCTTAAGTGGCGCATTTCTCATAAAAGAGTTTATCAGTATCTTTATTCTCCCACTTAAGAAAAAAAAAAATACTAGCCAGCTTCTATTTTTTCTTCCTTTTCTCCCATGTCAGTATCATCAGAAATTTGACTTGTGGTTACTTAAAATGTTTGGGTTTTTTTGTTGTTGTTGTTGTTGTTGTTGTTTTTTACTAGGCAAAGAACTTTATTAACCTTGGTTTCAAACTTGATTCCCAGGCTTCTTCGGCTTAATTAGCTGCAAAGAATGAATTGTGTATACACAAAAAACTGAAAAGAGCTGCAGTGTCCAAGGGGCTTGGGCTTAAAAATATTAGAGATCTAGATTTTATCAGATCCATAAACAAAAATTTCTTAAAAAGCAGTCATAATATAAAATAGCAGCTCCCAGTAACTTCTTCAAGTTTTATCTTCAGAAGTTGACTCAATTCAGTTTGCCTCATTCTTGGAAGCCTTATCAAAATTCTCCACAAGATCTGGAACTTCATCATCATCCTCCTCTCCAGTAGCAAGTGGTGCTTTTCCATCCACAGATTGTTTGGGCAGGGCTTCAGCCAGTCTTCTTAAACTAGTCAGACTGTCTGCCCCAAGCTGGTTTAAGATGCTGGGTAGCATTTCTGTCAGCTGCTTTGTCTCAGCATGGCCTGTAATGGTGAAAGTGTTTGCTGCCAGAGATGCCTGAACTTTAGGGTTGTTAAAGTGGATCACTGTTCCTTGGTTTGTAAACATATTCATCTCTTCAATACCAGAGATATTGTTTACCCCTAACTTCTTTAAGGAAAACTGAAGTTTTTTATCATCTTCTGTGGCTGTTCTGTGAACCACCTTCTTCTTTCTGCGAGCAGTTCCTTTCCCACCAATGCGCACTTGTGCCTGCAGTTTGGTGAGTTTTTCCTGGTTCATGATTGTTTCTTTCATCTTGTCGGAGCGGATTAGGGGTCGTGCGGGGGACGAGGGTTGGTGCTCAAGAGGTCTCGGGTGGACCAGCTGAGATTAGGCGCACACACGCGGGGACGCAAGATGGCAGCTAAAGGGCTGTTTGGGTTTTTTTTAACTGTCATTATTTACATGTTGAGTATCTCTAATACGAAATCTAAAATGTTCCAAAGCCCAAAACTGTTTTGTGTGTTGACATGATGCTCAAAGGAAATGCACTTTAGAGCATTTTGGATTTCTGGATTAGGGAAGCTGAACCTGTAAGTATAATGCAGATATTCAAAGGTCTTAAAAATTTGAAATCCAAAACACTTGGTCCCAAGCATTTTGGATAAAGGATCATCAGCCTGTGTTTAGATTTAGTAATATGTTTAGTTCATTTGTTTGATTGTGTTGCTGTTGCATTATACTTCCTCTGGCTTGCTAGGGAAGGAGAAATAAAGAGTTATCTTTTTACTATATAAAGTTACATCCTTTTACTTTGAGCTTATTTGTGTCTTGGAATCTAAAAGCTGTCTCTTATAAACTAGATAGTTGGATCATGATTTTTTGCCTTCATTAACATAAAACCAGATATTTTAGAAAGGGGATCGTTATAAATAATAAAAGATTCTTGTCACTCAGAAAACTCCAACAGTTTTGAACTCTGTGCTAGGAACCTAGGACAAAGACTAAATGTATATATTTATATCACAACAGTTTTTTATATTAGATAGGAAGAAAAAAGTTATAAACAACAAAATACATTTGTTATATTTTACATTTACCTATATAATTACCTTTACTGGCTCTTGACTTCATTGCGTAGTTTCAGAGTATTGTCTAGGGTTCCTTCATTTCAACCTTAAAGATGCCTTTTAGTATTTCTTTTAGGGGAGGTCTTCTAGTGATAAATTTTTTTTTTTTTTAAATCTAAGAATACCTTAAGTTTTTGTTTGGTTTTGAAGGATAGTTTTGCTGGATATAGAATTCTTTGTGGGTTTTTTTTAATTTTTCCAGCACTTTGAATATGTTGTTCATCTGCCCTCTGGCCTCCATATTTCTGATGAGGAGTCAGTTGTTAATCTTATTGAGGATCCTGGTACATGATGAATCACTTTTTCTTGCTTTTAAAGTTTTCTCTTTGCCTTTGGTTTTCAGTAGCTAATCATATTTCTAGACGAAAATCTCCTTGAGTTTATCCTGTTTGGAATTCATCGAGCTTCTTAAATGTGCAGATTAATGTTTTTCATCAAAATTAGGAAGTCTTTTGTCAGTATTTCTTCATGTATTCTTTCTGCCTGTTTCTTTTCTTTCTTGAGACTTACATATTTTGATATGCTTGTTGGTATCCCACAAATCTCAGAGACTGTTGATATATATATATATATGTGT